TGTTACTTTTCTCGTTGTTGAAACAAAATACCAGACACCCAAAGTTAAAAGGGAAGGAGTTTATTTAGCTTACCGTTTGTAGAGTTTTCAGTCCATAATCAACCGACTCCAAGGCAGAGACGACATACAGGCCTGGCAGAGCATAAGCAACATGGGACACACAAGGCAGCAAAGGTAGCAAGAAGAGCACCGCCCTGCCCCCTTTTTCTCAGACATAGGGTGGGCAGCGCTCACACCCTTAATCCCAGTGCCACTGAGCACAGCACTGCACCATGAATCAATCCCAGCCTCACACACTCTAGATCCAGCCTATGATTGCATGAGGCTGTGGGGCACTTCTAGACCCAATATATATTCATATTTTGAGCACTTCAGTCTGCTGTAACAAAAATACTGATTGTATTGTTTAAATTCATTTCTCAGTTTTGAAAGCTGTGATGTCCAGTCTCAGCATTTTTGCATTTCAGTTCCTGATGAGAGCCTTGTTCCTGGTTTCCAGGTGCTTGTCTTCTACGTGCTCTTCACACGGGGCAGAGACATGTCTTTTAGATTCCAAGGACACAGTCAATTCATGGAAGCTCCACATTTACAACCTAATTACCTTTTGAAGACCCTACACCTAAATACTGTCACTCTGTAGCCCAGGCCGGTCTTGAACTCACAAAAATCCCCGTGCCTCAGCCTCCTGATTGCTGGGATTACAGGCATGTGTCACCTTACCCACTTAACATACAAATTTTCAGAGCACATTCAGTCCATTGCAAGCTTCATTCCTGTGTTCAGCACCATGATAGTTATGAAGAGGTTCAGAGACTGCAGAAAGGAAATTTATAATACGACATCTTAGTAAACATCTTAAATTGAAAAATGCCTTTAAAAGCCAAACAAGCAAGGTGGTACATATCTGTAATCTCAGCGCTCTAGATTCCTGCACAATTTAGTCCCTTAGACCCCAATCTCAAAAAAAAGCTGAGGATGTAGCTCAGTGCCAAGGCCCAGAGTACCAGACAGAGACACACACACACACACACACACACACACACACACACACACCCCACACACACACACACCACACACACACCACACACAGGAAAGAAAAGCATTTAATATACCTACCGTAGTTCAGCAACAGCTTTATTCCAGATGGGGAGTTTGAGCCTGGGGTCACAGTGTGCTTTACTGCTGAGCCAGGTTACTTTGGGCTGAGTGGGAGCTCTGGCTTGCTACCAGCCAAGGAATAATTCAGGGCATAGTTTGTACTGAGTGGGTATCACTTTGACACAATCCTAAAGCCAAACCATGCTGTATATTGTTGCTCTTTGTAAGGAACTCAGTTTGTGACAGAATTAAAAGCTAAGAATAGGCTGATTTTTAAAAAGGTTTTTATAAGCCAGGCATGAGACACGTGCCTGTTATCCCAGCACTCAAGAGGCTCAGCCAGGAGGATCACTGCAAGTTCAGGCCAGACTGGGCTACCCAGTGAAATTCAAGGCCAGCCTGATGTACAGTGAGAATCTTGTCTTAAAAAAAATTCTTGTGTTGCACAAGTTCATCTGCAAACTATTAGAGTTGAAATGATTTGTATTTCCTTGCTCAAATATTTATATAAACACTTTATATTGTACTGCACAACTCAAAAGATACAAAATATAATGTTGGATGACCAGTACATAGATATTCGTGATAACACTTTTTTGTATTGGGCTTTAACTTAAATACTTCAAACATTATCTAATTAGTAGATAATAAGTTCTAATCATCCCACCATATGACAAGAAATGTGTTTATACCCAAACCAGCTGTGTTGGTACATTCCTGTAATCTTACCCCTCAGAAGGCAGAGGCAGGAGGATCACTGTGAGTTCCAGGCCAGCCTGAACATATAGCAAGACTCAGGAAAAAAAAAAAGTTTATACCCATATGTGTGAAAGTGCTATTAAGTTTTACACATTTTACCTAGGTCATACTTAGGTCACAATTTGAAACCTAAAGGATATTTTTCTGAAGGGGTATGTAATAATAGTGCCTGCAGTGTTTAACAAAAGGTCAGTGGTGGACCCATGCCAACTAAGTGATCCAGGTTTGACTGATGACAGCGCCACAGTGAAATGTTTGGGACTTAAGGAAGAGCCTGAAAACTTTTGGTTTATGCTTTATGAGAAATACGTATAATGTGAACTTTAAAAATATGTAACAAAAGGGCTGGGGATTTAGCTCAGGGGTTTCACTGCCTGCTTTGCAAGTGCAAAGTCCTGAGTTTGGTCACCAGTATCCCGCCAAATTATATGTATGTAGCAAAGGAAGGAAAGGACAAGTGAAAATGGAAACACAGCTTTTGTACGTGGGGAGGGAGCTTGGGGGTAAAATAAGTATAGCAAAGTATTTATTTTGGCTTAACCATAAATAAACATGATTTAATATTTCATTTTTGCTGTATTGGGGGTTGAACTCAAGGCCTTACATATATGAGGCAAGCACTCACGCTGACCTGTATATGTGAACTATAAATACAGAGGTTTAGTTTGAGGGCTTGTTTTTGTTTTTAGTTGAGGATGATCTTGAACTTACTGGGTGGCCCTGTCTGGCCTCAAACTCACTGTGGTTCTTCTGTCTCAGCCTCAGGCGTACTGGAATTACAGGCAGATGCTCAGCTTAGGTTTTTAAAGAACTTACCTCTCTGCAGGATATTAAAATCCATTTGGATTTTAGTTTAATGCATGGTGAAAGACAGGTATCTAATTTTAACCTTTGGCAAGTTGAAAGACAATTTTTCCAACATTTATTAAAGAGGCTATCTTTCCTTTGTCAAAGATGAGGTAGCTGAGTACATCTGGAGTTGTTTCTTCCAATCTATTCCACTGATCCTCAGATCTGTTTCTTTGCCAGCACCATGCTGTTTTCATCACGGTGGCTTTATAGTATAGTTTATCCCCTGCCATGTCTCTGTTGTCTAGAATGGCTTTTGCTATTCTACATCTCTTCTGGTTCCAATTGAATTTTATGATGAATTTTCTTTAGGTATACCTGTGGTGAACCTTCTGAGACAGCTGCATGTCAAGTCCATCCAGTAAGGTTTTCAAGGCCCATACATTTCTGTTGTGGTGTGAATACTTCCCGTGAGTTTGTGGGGTCTTTGCTTACCTCAAATCCATCAGAGACCTCAAAGAGAGGCAGGGGAAAGGCCAGGCCAGAACCATTACCTTCAGGATCTCATTGTGTTCCCCCAGTAAAGCCTCCATGAACAATTCATGAAAGGTTGGGGTCAGCAGGTCATGCAGAGCTGTGATCTCTATGGCCTCATTGTTCAGCAGGCTCTGCTTGGCCTGCTTGTACAGAGTCAGTGGGCTCTGTGTACTCATCCTGAGAAATCAGGTGTAGATGTGGGTGACGAGGCTCTGGCACTCCAGGTGGGACCTGGCAGTGTCTAGAAGCTCCAGGACTGAGCCAAAGGGCCAAATCTCTACAGTGAATGCTGAAGCACAGAATTCACTTCCTTCACACTGACCTATACAGTTTCGGGGTAAAGAAATTTCTATTTAAAATTGAATTCTCAGCTGGGCATGGTAGCATGAGTTGGTAATCCCATCATGTGGGAGGCTGAGGCAGGAGGGTCACCAGGAGTTTGAGGCCAGCCTGGGATACCTAGTGAGTTCAAGTCCAGTCTGAACTACAAACTGAGACGAGACCCTGTCAAAAAACAAACAAATGAATTCTCATTTCCACTTTAAATCCATAGACAATAGCAATTAAGTTTATTTTTATTTTATTTTATTTATTTATTTATTTATTTAGAGACAAGGTTTTGCTCTTTATTCAGGCTGGCTTTGAACTCACTATGTAGCCCAGGCTGGCTTCAAACTCCTGGTGACCCTCCTGCCTCAGCCTCCTTCTGAGCTTACAGGCATGGACCACTATGCCTGACAAGCAGTCTTTTTTTTTTTGGTATGATAATGAGTCTTTAATACATTTTTAAAAATTTAAACATTCAATACTTTTTTTTTTGCTGTAATCAAACTTGGGCCCTTGCACTTCCAAAGAAGGTGGTGAAACCACTAAGCTAAATCTCTGGCCCTTCATTACATATTTTGATCATAATACTTATTTTGATCATATTTTAAACATGACAAACACAGACTTGCTGATGTTAAAAAGGTAAATAAATCTGATCATTTAAACTTCAAGATAATTTTTTTTTTAGGTGTATCACATCAATGGAGGATTAGTGCCTACAATTTAGAATTTCAGAAAAGATGGCAGTTATCTCAAATTATGGAATTCTTTCAAAGGGCAGACATGGTGCCACTAAGCTAAATCCCAGGCCCTTTTCCAAGGATTTTTAAAAAACATTTTTGTTTTTTGGTTTTTTGAGACAGGGTCTCACTATGTAGTTGAGACTGACCTGGAACTCACTATGTATTCCAGGCTGGTCTCGAACTCACAGCAATCCTCCTGCCTCAGCCTCCCGAGTGCTGGGATTACAGGCGTGCAGCACTACGCCCGGCTTCTGGTTGTCTTTTTAACTCAGAATAGATAGTAAATTGGTAGTTTGTTTCTTTTAGAAAAAGTATTTTCTATAGCATATATGTGGTGTTTATATAATCTAAAACAAAACTGCGGATTTTTTTTGTTTTTGGTGCATGGGGACTGAACTGCTATGGGAGAGTTCCTTCAGTAATGGCTCACCAGTCAAAAATATTCCAGCTCCTTGCCAAACCGGATCAGACAAGACAAAAATGGTGCTGAACGCTTATATGAAAAGTGAGGGATAAATGGGAATGGAGAACCCAGCTCTGCAGCGCGAACTTGGCCCAAACGAGAAAATATAAAAGCAAAAATAAAAGTACATGCGCCAGCGCAGACTCTGGGAGGAACTCACGCTAGTGAGCTTCCTGGTGTTGGTCTTTATGCCATCCACATCTTCTGGAGAAGTTACACACGGGTCCTGACAGGTCCTGCTCCTGCCTCAGCCAGCTTTGCGTGCGCCATCTCCTATCAGAGCCGGGGCCTCCTCAGGGCTGAAGGTAAGCAGTCTACCTCAGAGCTGAGCCCTATCACTGCCAGCGACAGCTTCTCTTTAGTCAGCAGATGGTACCTCACCTCATCCCTTAAGCCCGTCTGAATCCAGAGCCTTCACACTGAGCTCATGAGCTATCCAGTCCCATTTTGAATCCGACTCTCCCTAAGTTGCCCAGCTTTTTCGTCTCTCCCATACCTTCTTTATGGCACTGAGGACTGAACCAAGGGCCTTGCACATGCTAAGCAAGAACTCCACCAGAGCTACAGCCTCAGTCTTAGCCTTATTTTTACTATTTGGCGGGGGTGGCGGTGGTGGTGAGATGATCTCCCTAGGCCAGACTGGCATTTAAACTACAGATCCTCCTGCATCAGCCTCCCAAGTGCTGGGCGTGTGAACCACACCTGGCCCAATCCTTTCCTTTTCTTGGGACGGGGGTCGAACTCGGGACCTTGCGCTTTCAAGGCAGGCGGCGGCAGCACCACCCGGCCGCCGGCCCCACCCTTTCTTAAGGTAAACTACATATAAAATGAAGCACAACACATCAAGGCTGCGATACTAACCCGAGCAGATGGGCAGACGGAAGGACCACAGGGGAGCAGAGTCGAGGATCGAGTCACTATGCGCCAGCGGCCCCATCAGGGGCTCCGCGCACGCCCACAAGCAAGAGGGCCCGCCCCTGCCGCGGCCCCGCCCAGCAGCCCGAGCTTTCGGAGC